AAACACGCCCCATAATCACAGCTCTATGGAGCAGTATCAGACTCATATTCTGACTAGAATTGAGTAGGACTACGTCAGGCTAGAAAAACTCCCCATTGGGAAGAAACGTCTGGCAGAACCAGGCTCAACATGGCGGTATTCTGATGGACCGGTTGAAATGAGACGCGGAATGCAGTAAGAATCCAGGAAGAATGAAACTGATGAAGTTTTAGCTACGATGGTGGAGGAGGGGCTGGAGGGGGGTTGAAACGGGGTCATCTAAGTGAAGCCACACAGCGGATCAGAGGCCGTTTAAGATGAACCTTGGATGCCGACTGGCTTTTGTGGAGGTGTGGTAAAAAGCTGATTGGCTGTGTCAAAGGTGGATGTAGGAGAGCAATCCGTTTCTTCAGTTGAAATTCCGCCTAGATTCCCGCATCTCGGCTAAGATCAAATTCCAGCACTTTCAAGGCGTTTCCAGTATTGATATCTCAGATTCAAGGTTCAAGGATAATGTGCAGAAGCAAAATGTTGTGCTTTTTTACCATTATTTGCTTTCATTAAGCCTTTTCTCTTATTTATCTGATTCATATAAAGCCCTTTGAATTATCCATGTATTGATGTATGCTATACAAATAATCTTGCCTTGTCTTGCCTTGCATTTCACAATGATTATGGTCCCTGTAAAGTGTAAAGTCGTCATACGTTGACGTTAAACCTGGCTGTAGTAAACAGGAAGTAGAGTAAGCAAGCTAACTTAACTCATTAGTCTAATGCTAATATGTCTAATTTCAATTAGACTGATAAGTTTTAGTCTGAATGCCTTGGCAGTATGGAGACATGAGGAGAGAAATGCAATTCTAATGTAGCATTCAGGACACCAAGTTTTAGATCAGGAGATTGCTTTCACACAGGGGGGGATTTACCATAAAGCAATACTAGGCAGCTGCTTAGGGCTCCAAGTTCCTGGGGGCCCATAAAACTCTGCTTACATTTATAGTTAATACAGCTATTCCTTATTTGTGCACATTATCTATGATTTCGATAAATATCCTTTGGCTAAAATGCCATCAGAACGCTTATAATATTCAGTGTGTCTCAGCCCCCCCTCTTCAGTGTCCACCATATTGGATCAGTCCATTTGATGCACTTTTCAGAAAGGTCCAAACAGACAGCAACAAAACATTTGAAAACAAACGATGAGAAAAGGCAGTGCACCAAACTTTTGTTGGTATATTTAGCGACTTTTCA